AGACTTGATGAAATCCATATAAGCTGAATTGTTCAGGACAGCATTCCATATATTCGGATCGGCCGCAAAGGAAGCAACAACAGACTGGGAGGAAAACCAAAACCATCAAACATATTATGTCCATTTAATTACAGTTATTTATACTCATAACATCAAGTATCTGCAGCCTATACCCTTCCGAACACTGGCACCAAAACCCGAGTAAACGGAATAAGCTGAGGGAGAATCAGAGAATGTGGTACTAACAACAATGTAAATGACTGTAATGAAGATCATAAAATCAAGTGGAGGGTAAGATATGACCACAACCTGAACTGCAGGATTCTGATTGAGCAACTTGAATGCATGAATAGCAGGTTGTGGAACCGAAATGGCTCCGACAATTAAGCAACACAATCTTTAGTCCCCTCAGAGTTCGAAAGCGATGGAACACCGGACTCCGGAGTAGTGCCACCGTAATTTGGAGATGACAGGTAAACCCTGAAAATAAAAATGGAATCATAACCAAAAGATTCTGTAACAGATCCAATAAAATAGTAACATGATTTTAACATATCCATATACACAATCATAACACAAGTAATTCAACTTCATCTGATCCATTAGCAGTACATAGAATTGATCCTAAAATAGTATATAGCAGCAATAGTATGCAAAACTCTTTTAGTTTAACATTTCTATCCTATAAAGCAATAATTACCAGAATTTCTGTTTGATCAGAATTTGTTTATTCAAAGTTCCTAAAACCAAATATAAAATGAAAAAGGCAATCAATTGTTCATACAGTACACCATAAGAGCTACTGAAAATTAATCAGAAGGGCTTTGAAGAATTCATAAGGAATCGAATTTCTAAAACGATTTTTAAAAAAATCTGAAAGGAATGAACTTTACTCGTCCAGTGCATCTTTCAGATGAGCAGTTGCTTCTTCAGCCTCCTCCAGGCTTGGAACGCCACCGAACAACACCTGAGCAATCGGTTCGGCTCTGCCGGAGGCGGCGGTTGAAACTTCCGAAGCTACCTACTCAGTAATTAACTGATTTTAAGCTAATTGAAACATAAAGCTTAACGGCTGAAAATAATATTCGAGTATTAGCCCATGATGCTTTCAACGATTACATCAGACCCTGCAATAGTAATAGTTTCAGGTTTAAAAAGGGTAATCGGAGTCTGTCAGACAGCTGCGTGACCATCCCAGCTAGACGACGCGAGCTGATAACGATCCTCTGCGGTCGAGGTAAGCCAACAGTGGGCATCCCAAACCAGTAATCACGCTCTGATCACACAACCTCGGTTCATCAACCAGACTTGGAATCCTGTCTCCTTAGAACTCAAGGATACAGAGGTACGAGCCTATAGAACAGATCCTGTTCAAGTAAGGTCGTGCCCAAGTATCTCCCGGTTCTCTTTTAAATAACATTCACCTTAGTCTTTTCTTCACGATGTGGGATTTTGTTCAGCTTCCAACATAACAGTCACTGTTTTAACTTTAGCCTACACGTTTCTTCCGTTATTTATTTAGCCTTAAAAGGAATATATGGTCTAGACTTTTTTTCCTATTTTATTTAAATAGAATTAAGATTAAATATAAAATTTGAAAAAAAAATTATTTTAAATATTAACTTTTATCCAAATTATTAGTTGTGCGACCTTCTTTGAAAAAAGTGAAATTAATCTAATATCCATTTTTCAAATCAGGAACAATTTTGAAGATTATTATATCAATTTTTAGCTCGATAGTGAATTGATATTTTCTAAAAAGAAATAATTAAATTAACGAGAAATGATAGATAAAAAAACATGATTGAACTATATTTCTTATTCAAATTATATATATATATATATATATATATATATATATATATATATATATGGTAATTAAATTTAAAATCGATTGATTTTGATCAAATAATATCGAAATTTTAAAAAAATGTGTTCAAATCAGATATGATTAAGTGAAGAGTTTGAGTCAAATCAGATTAAGTTTAGGATAAAAATCTTTAATCTGGTCCTACCCAAAGTAATTTTTTTAAAATTCAAAAATAATTACAATAATACTCTTTTTCTATAATTTTTATAATTAAGCCCTCATTTTACCAAATAATTTTTTATATATTTATATTAGGTTAAACAGAATGTGAGTTTTTACTTCAAAATCGAATAGAATCGGGTTCAGATAAAAAAATACTCCTCAAACCGAATGAATAATATATACCTCTCGTATTATATCAGATTCAGATAAAAAAAATATATGTTTTTTTAGATCAAATCAAGTTAATCAAATTTTGATTCAGATTGGGGTATTGTTGTTTCTGTGGATCAAATTTTCAATATAGCTTTGATTCAGATTGGGGTTTAGACGAATGCTTTATGGCCATCGTTGATTCCGGTCGTTCAAGATTTTGTGCGAAGTCCGCAGTCAATCACTTCAGGCGTTTGTGATTACTGATTTCTAGTTTAATAAATTAGACTGCTTTCTAGTTTTTTCTCACTTTATTAAGACGAAACAGGGGTTTCACTTATTTCCAAGATTTTCATATTTGAAAATTTCTATTATGTGTCTTTGTTTGAGGTCTGTATTCTTTTTCCTGTGGAGTGGCTTGCTCTTTCTGTCATATGCATAAGGATTTAAATGAGGCATAGTCGTGGTGCTATTGATTTCATGGAGCTGTGTAGTGCTGCTGCTGTGGTCTTTTTCCCAGGTGTGTTGCGATAGGAGGCTGCTGTTTTGTGTTTAGTCCCCTGTGGTGTTGGTGCTTATGTATACTTTCTTTTTAGTTTCCAGCATAGGTATTTGGTTGTCTGTGTTGTTTATTTATGAGCTGGAGTGTGAATCGTTGTTCGATTGGGGTATGGACTGAATTTTGTAAGATTGGTATGGTTATTTGAACATTACCATCTCAAGGTACACTCTTTTTCCTCTATTTAGGATTAGGGAGGTTTTTTAAAGGATCTTGAGATAATGTACTTTGTTACTCATTATAATATAAAGTACCCTCTTTAAAAAAAAAAAGTTAATAAAAAATCCAACTTACATCTCTAATATATAATATATACCCATCCTAGCTAGCCATTTCACAAGCTGATCCATATGAAAGGACAAACCGACCCACCAATGACGGAAGGGGCCGAGACCAGATTCCCATACTGAGAAGAAAGACATGGATAAACGACACTTGAATGGAAAATTCAAATGGAAATGCCCCATAATAATAATAATAATAATAATAATAATAATAATAATATGGTTTCTGAATTTAGTAGCTAAATTGGTTTAATTAATGTTGGTTAGATGGGGAACTGATATTAGACTATTGTCTTTAGTGAATTCATGCTCTAAGCTTAGTTGGATGTGGGCAGGACGGACACAAAAATTTGTATAAGGGTACGAAGATAAAAAATTATATTAAAAGTTTAAAGAGAGTAAAATTATAAAATCTCAGGAAATGTAAAATCAAATATTTCATATAAAACATAAAGAAAATATCTCTTATATAAGAGAATTTAAAAATTTTATGAGGTACGATCACACCCCAAACACCCCCTCAATCCATCTCTAGATGTGAGTTTTTGTTGTGGCTTATTCCTACGAAAAAAAATATCGGTAGGATGTACAATTTTATTATTTGAATTTGACTGAATAAATTCTTAGCCTAATTTGAGTATAACTGAATTTATTATTATTGTGATATTTTCTACTTTAGACTCTCAAATTAGATTTAGATATGCGATTTTTATTTTTTGATTTACGATTTTTAGTGATATTCCAATAGTTTGATATTCTATTGTGATTCGTTTGTCGATGTAGTCAAATTTATTCATATTTATCTTTTGTTCGAGTTTTTTAGATGAATTTTTTAATATTTTTCCTTATACGATATTTGTATCATATGATCTCAAATGACTAGTTTTTTGTGTCAATGGTTATAAGAATGTGTACTAATTATATTTTTAATTTACGTTTATGATTATAAATATTTATTGTAATTTTATATATTTTATTTTTTAATAAACTATGGGTTTATATTAACATAAAAAAATAATCAGATTGTGGAACATAATTTTTATCAAGAATCAAATCAAATTTCGGATTAAAAATATCAATCAAGTTAAAACTTTATATATATATCGATATCAAGAATCAAATCAGACTTAGAATCAAATTTAAGGCTTTGATTTTTTAGAACACTAAATACTAATATGGTGTAAATCAAAACATCAAAATATCTATTGCAAAATAAGATTGGAGTATGAATTTATAATTAAAAAAAAAGAAAAAGAAAAAGGGAAATGGCGCCCACAAAATAAAAGGTGTATTAATTCCAAAAATGGGAGGGATCCCAAGGAGACATGGCAATGCTTCGTGATAATGCCAAATCAAATGGAAAAAAGAGCATGTACCTACAATCTAGGTGCTTGTGAGGTTGCTTAAACTATGTTTTTTCTCGGTTTTTATAGTTTCATCCTAATTAGTGTAGACCGACATAATTCATATATCTGATTTTGATGAATAAATTTTTTAATAAAAATCTTCTACATATATAAAGACTCGAATTCAAAATATATTTAGATGATATCAAATTATGTATCACTTAAATCTACTATCGTTTTTATTCTTTTCACAAAATAAAAAAATTATGACATTGGACCCACCTTTCTCGCGTAAAACAATAAAGTCGGTCTATAATCATAAGGCTTTATTAGATCACTATGCTTTTGTATATATTGATAGTGTCATAGTGAGGTTAATATAGAGTACATTAGTGGCACATTTACAGTATTTTTTTTGAATTTAGTTGAATTTGTATATTGTTTTTAATATATATTATTATAATATATACTAAAAAATACATAAAAGATAAGTCTGCTTATAGGTATCCGAACCAACATAAATTTCGCCTTGGAAAAAGGCTTTCCTCTCGTGCAAACTTTCAAAAATTATATTTTAAATTCGAATTATTTAAATAAAATTTATCTCTTTAAAACACCGAAACCACTACTTGAAATTCAATTTTGATGGGAAATAAGATTCAAACGAGTCATTTCTTTAATTACAAATCCTAAAACTATTTTTATTTTTTATATAATTAGGGAAAAAACTAATTAACTATTATATATATTTTAAAATATACATATATATTTAAAACTAAAACTAAAGGACACCACCACTATTGGAATCTTGTCCTACTATCTCATAGCCTCAAACCCTTTCTCCTTCCTCGCATTATTCTTCATTATTCCTGAAAAAAAAAACAAATAAACTCAAAATTTTATTTATTAGTCCTTTAAATAAAAAATCAAATAAAAAGAGAGAACACATTTATTAAAAAAATCATACAATAGACTGATTTCAACAGATTTAGTAATTTATTTTGAATTCATATTTAATTATTTTTATATAAAAATTAAGGTAAACTACTTATTACGTTTTAAATAATATTACATTTTTATTCTATTTTGATAATCTAAATTATAAAATTAATGATAATACTTGTGTGGTATAACAGAATCAAAAAGTAATATTATATAAGATTTTGAAAAATATAGGTGACTAAAATAAAAATACAAGAATAATTGAATGATTAAATATGTAGTTTAACCTAAATATTAAGAGTAAGAAAGAAAAGGTAAATATTGTTTTACCTTTTGGTTTACAGAGAGGAGGATCTTCAAAGAGAGACAAAGAGAGTTGTTTATGAGCAACACCAATGTCAAACAAGATAAGCCCAGATTTGGGGTCAAAAACGATGATGTCTTTAACAGGCAACCAGAGGAAGAGTTCTTCTTGGCTTAACCCGACAACACCGCTCAAGCTTCCATAGCTCAGGTTAGCCCTCACCACACTGTCGAAGAACACCCTATTCTCGTACTTTGTCAGGCACGGTTCCCCCAAGAAAACCTCCAGGGTTCCATTGTCGGAGAGTGTGTAAGATTTCACTTCTTTCGGAAGCAGACCTGCTGGTAAGCCTCTTGAAACAAGGAGATCATGGATCGAAGATGACGAAGAAGAAGAAGAGGAGGAGGAGGAAGAGATTAAAAGGAAGGACACTATTATGAGGAAATAAAGTTGTTTTGTTGAATATGCTCTGGTTTTTATGACAGTACTTCTGGAAACTGCCATGGATGATATACTCGAGTTGTGCATGGAAGGATGGAAAAAAGAAATGGGAGAAAAGTAAGTGAAAAAGGGAAAATGGGAAGGTAGTTGGAGGAAACGGGTGTTGAAGCCTGTTAGAGAAGATGGAAGGAGAGGTCGAAAAGTATGATTATGGAGAGATGACACTTTTGTCCTTGGTATATAACCATAATTAAGTATAAGCACGAGATGGGTTGAGTCGGCTTTTTGATCATATCGGCTCCAAAAATAAAGATTTTCACTACTTGATATTGTGTTTAATGATGTTTCCTTCGTCTGTATTTATTTTAAACTTTTGAGGTCAAATTCATTTCCGACTGACACGACACATTTTTTTCTAATTTTATTTTACAAGATAAAGAGGTAATATATATATATAGAGAGAGAGAAACATTATCGTAGTAGTTATATCAAGATGACGTTTATTTGTTATTATGTTAATTTTTTTTACTTTAGATCATCTAATTGGATTTAAATACACAGTTTGCGTTCGGACATAGTTGTCTCACGACATTCAATTCTAATTTACGTTTGTCGGTGATCTTTCAATAGATTCATCTCCTGTTGTGGTTCATTTGTTGATACAATCTCATATGTTTGTACCAATCTTTTGTTTGAGTTTTTGGATGGATTTTAACTTTTCCGTTTTATGATGTCAAGCAATTAGTTTATTGTGTAATGGTTATAGGAAAATGTCATGATTATATACAAGGGCGGAACTATGATGAAATTATGGAAGGGGTAAGTTGCTTATCTTTGAAACTAACAAGGTTCTAAAAGATAATTAAACCAAAAAAATAGAGGATTGAAGCTTAATTTCATTAATTTCAGAATTGGCATATCCTAAAATGTAATTAAATAAAAAATGTTAGAGACAATACTTAATTTCATTTAACTTTAAAATTGATAACGTCTTGAAAAATAATTAAACCAGAAAATTTTAGGAGGGATATGACTTAATTTTAATGGTTTCAAAATTTTTAAGTTCTTAAAATATAATTAAACCATAAAAATTTAGATGAGCCATGTCTCCCTTCCGCCCCCACGTGGTTCCGCCACTGAGCATATATTTAGTTTACGCTTATGGTTGTAAGACTTTCATTGTAATTTTAGATCAAATTAACGACTTCTATTTGCATCAAATTAACTTTTTACTCTAAACCTGACCCAATCCTAACTCTCGTTCTCAAAATCCACTTCATTTCTTCTCGAACCAAAATTTTAAATTTTATATTGATTAGAAAAAAAAATATTTCAATGATAGTGTATCAAATATTAAAATTGATATTGATAAAATTAATAGAGAAAAACTAAACTAGGAATTATCATATAAAATTGAAATTTTATATTATGGCATTAGTTGAATCCTAGCTTTGATTGATATTTTTGATTTTGTGATACGTCTACGTTTTGGCTTGCTTATTGTGGTAAGCTTATAATAAATATGAGGGTAAAGTATAGTAATGGTCACTGAACATTTTTGAAACTTGCATTTAGGTCCCCCAATATTTAAAACTTGCAATACAGTCCCCCAACATTTGTTCCGTTTGCAATATAGTCCCCCAACTTAAACCACAGTTAGAAAATTAGGATAAATTATATAAACGGTCATTGAACTTTTCAGTCACTTGAATTTCGGTCCCCCAACTTTTAAAACTTGCAAAACAGTCATCAATTTCATTCTAAACCCCAATTTCCAAAGTAATTCAATTTTATTCTAAACCCTAAATTCTAAAATACTTCAATTAAATTCTAAAATACTTCAATTTAAGGTAATATAGGCTTGAAGAAAGAGTTCAAGGCACAGACACAACGAATAAAAATATATTTATATAAATGTATATTTATATTTAGATGTATAAATAAAAAATATATTCATATATTAATGTATGAATCATTTATATTTTTTGAATATTTTATTTTTAATAAGAAATTAAAATTATTAATTATATTAGAAATACTCAACTTAAGATTATATATATAATCATGAATTATAAATATGAAAAATATAATTATTAAATTTAGTTTAAAAATATATAAATCTTAAATTTATTCTTTTAAAATATTGTATCAACTAATATTTAAAAAATATATTAAATCTATCAAACAATTTATCAAATATAATATTTTTTATTGTAAAAAATATAATATTTTCCCATCATTTATTGCTTTCAAATTTTTTGCCGAAGTTCAAATCTCATTATTTCCATTTTACATTATATTCTTTTTTTTCTGGCATTGGTCATACTATTAGTATATGTATTATTGTATATCTCTTAACACAAACGATGGTGTTAGCTTAGTGGCTCCACCCTATATCTTTCATTTGCGTGACTCAGGTTTGAGTTTGCCCAAGACCCAAATTTTACTTCTTTGTAACTTAATTTTCTTCTAATTAGGAGGTGACATGTGTCACCAATGACACATATCATGATCATGTGTTAACACATGTCAGATCCTGATTAAATGATTAATTTATTAAATTTTATTTAATTTAGGACCAAATTGATAGCATATATAAATAATTAGGTGGTAACACGTGTCACCAATGACACGTGTCATGATCATGTGCTAACACATGTCAGATCCTAATTAAATGATTAATTTATTAAATTTTATTTAATTTAGGACCAAATTGATTATATAAATAATAAAGACTGAATGTATAATAATGTCAATTCCTTTTAACTGCCACATCATCATTTTTATCAATTGGTAACGACTAGTGGCTTAGTTGAAACAGTTAAATAATTATGTGGTATGATTGATAAATTTAAAAGATCGATGACAAAAGTAAAAAGGGCTAGATAGTTAAGTTGTCAACCGAGTAGTTTACACTTTTATTTATACGTCAAAATAACATTTTATAAATTTAAAATTCGAATTATTTTCAACCTCTTTTATATCCTAACTACTTTTTTTAATTAAAAAATTTCTTCAACAGATAAGAATTATACTATTATATTTATATAAAAAATACGTATCACATGAAATAAGATGAAATTAAATAATAATAACTTTGACATAATTGAATTTAATTTAAGTATTTTGGAATTTAGGGTTTAGAATAAAATTGAATTACTTTGGAAATTGGGGTTTAGAATGAAATTGATGATTGTTTTGCAAGTTTTAAAAGTTGGGGGACCTAAATTCAAGTGACTGAAAAGTTCAATGACCATTTATATAATTTATCCTAATTTTCTAACTGTGGTTTAAGTTGGGGGACCATATTGCAAACGGAATAAATGTTGGGGGACTGTATTGCAAGTTTTAAATGTTGGGGGACCTAAATGCAAGCTTCTGAAATGTTCAGTGACCATTACTATACTTTACCCTAAATATGATGTGGTCCATTGGGTATGATGTAGTCTAAAATTATTTGCATTATTTGGGTTGTTTTTATGTGCATAATTATTTAGTTTGTTGCACAGGAACTGTTAATTGGCATGCGCAAGTTTTGAAAAATAATATTGTAATTTCATGAAAATGGAAAATATTTTGGTTAGATTTAATAGGTCATATAAATGTATTTTTATTAAAAATTAAACTAAAAACAATCATAAAAAATATTGAAATATATAAAAATTCCACTTACTTTTATCCTAATAAAAAAATGGGTCCACTATCAAATTGTTACATGGACGGGAAAGATCAATCAATATCAATATCAATATTTCTTTTTTTTATTCTAATGTTTATTAAAATGATTATTTTGACCCTTGTTCTTTTTTTTCTTTTCGAGTATTGAACATTATTAATTTAATCTATAAAATTTTAAAATACTCAACGTATAATTATAAATTAATTAAAAATATAAAGATAAATTATTTAAAATAAAATTTTAATTACAATATTTTTCATAATCATTTTTGGCTTAAATGCATCATTGCCACCTAAAGTATGTCATTTGTACCGAATTACCTCCTAAAGTATTTTTCGGATATTTTACCATCTAAAAGTTTAAATCGTTACCTCATTTGGCCCAAACCATTGGAAATACCAAGGGTAAATTACATATTTAGTCACTCAACTATTTTCACGATTCTGTTTTGGTCACACAATTATTTTTCTCTCAACATCATCACTAAAGTTTTTGTTTTGTTTTGGTCACCTAAATTAATTCGATTTATTTTTAAATTTTGTAATAAATAAGAATTCATTTATATCATATTTTTTACTCGACACACAGATAGTCAACCCCTAAATATTTTAACCCAACCGAGCTAATATTTTCTTTCTCTTCAAAGTCAATTTTTAGACTAAATATTTCATTCAAATATTAATTAAAATTTTAGATAAATATGTACAATCAAAATTAAATTAAAGAAAAATATATATATCCCATAAAAAGATGACAAACAAGAGACACAATGAACCATTTTTAATGAAGAAAAAAAATAAGTCCCTTTGTTCATGGTACCTATACTTTGACATTGATACCTTAATTCATTAAAAAAAATTTTGTTCTTCCGGTTCAAAGGCTTTGCCTTGATTAATCCAAACCGATTCGTGTCACACATTTAGCTTGGTGATTTAATCTACCAACAGAGATTTTCTGCATACATAAAGACTCGAACTCGATGCCTTGCTTAAATGATATCAAATTGCTTACCACTTGAACCAACTCATGTTGGTTAAAATTATATATTTTTACTTTTAATTAATTAATTTATTATTCTTCCAAAAATTTGTTGTCACGCCCCCTTGCAGCCGTCAATGTTTTTAAGTGAAACCACCGACTCTTTCAAGTTTATAGTAATTATTGGGTTTACGTTGTGTAAGCTTTCATTCATGTATCTTCTAATTAGAGTTCCAGTATCCATACATATGTAACATAAATTAGGGATAACGCAACATTTTTTCTTACACTTTAGTAGCTTTTCTCAACTTGAAATTTGAAACTTTTTTGTCACAATATTCTCTAAACTTTGTAACTTTTCTGATATTTAGTTATTTTAATGATATAAAATTTTAAGATTGTGTCATGTGACATATCATCAAAATGATAAAAGAAATTAAGTTTAGAGGTTACTGTAAACAAAAAAAATATATAATGAACAAGTTAAAAAAAGTTAGTAAATTCAAAAAAAAATTGAATTGATTTATGTGATCAAAATCAAACTAAAATTTAAATTTAATGATGATTTTGAGAGAGAGAATAATTGGGTGACCAAAACAGAATCGTAAAAATAATTGAGTGACTAAATATGTAAGTTACCCTTGCTATTTCTAACAGAGTTCATGGTTTGGGGCAAATGAATTAACGATTTAAACTTCAGTGAGTAAAACATCTTAAAAAATACTTTAAGAATCAACTTAATACAAATGACGTACTTTATGTGACAATAATGCATTTAAACCAAAAAATGTAATGAAAAATAATATAATTAAAATTTTATTTTAAATAATTTTTTTTAGATTTTTAACTAATTTATAATTATAAGTGGAGTTATTTAGAATTTAAAATTTTATAAATTAAATTTATAGTGTTCATCTTCAGTGATACTTATCAGTACTTGTAGAGCGTAGCAGACTAATCCTATAACTTATTATATTTCATTTAACATTGGTAATTTTATACATTGCCAAAATTGTCAATACACTTAAAAAAGAAAAAAAACATTATGATATCAACGAGTTGATTCAAATGGTAAGTAGCTAAATATCTTTTAAGAAGATCTTCGAGTTACTGTGTATGTAGAAAATCTCCGTCAGTAAACACATACACCAAAACTAGATGTGTAATTCCGATCAATCCAAATTAGTCAAGGAGAAACCTTGAGAACCGGGAAGACAATAAAAATAATATTATGATGAAAAGGGACAAAACATATTCTTTATTTACCTTTCTACCACTTGGGAAAAGGAGATAAGCTATCATCTTTATTTCGTTTTAATATCTAAACTTTATTTATTTTTTAAATCACATATAACATTTACTTTATATTTCAATTTGATATCTCACTATTAAAAATTTAGTGGCAGCGATAACATGAAATTATTTTTCCTTTTATGATATTCCACGCGTCTTGGATATCATTAAGTTTTTAACAATGAATACCAAATTAAAAAAAACTAAACTTTTAGTATAATTTAAATATATATATATATATTAAAATGAAAAAAAAAACAATATATTAGGGACTAGCTTACCCTTTTTAATATGTGAAAGGGGGTGTGGGTAATGATTTCGTTACGAGCAGGGTACCAATTGTATGCGACTTGTGTGAAAGAGATGGGTAAGGGCAAAACCGTAATAACGTACTTCATTGGCCCACGTGTCGGCAGTTCTGTCCACACGCTTGACTTTTTTTTTTCATGACCTCTTTCTGTAGTAGAATATAACACCACTGCCCACAAAATCAATATTATTAAAAACATATGTATAATGATAGAAAAGGACACACATCACATGTAAATAAGTGATGGTATACATACCATATATTCTAAGTGATAATATATCACGCATCACGTGTTAAAAGTAATGTTGTGACATATATTACATGTTCAAAATAACAACGTGACATAAACTATATATACATGAGTGATGATGTGATGTATATCATATGTACATAAACGATAACATAACACATACAACATCATCATTTTGGATACATAAGACTTGAAACATCAACAACAAGCATTGAATATTAATTCACTAATAATTTTCATCTAAACAAGAGAAAATTTATCTCAAAATAAAACGTTGAGATTTAAAATTCATGCAAAAATAATAATAATAATAATAATAATAAGGTTAATATATTGTTTATTACCTAAATAAGGTTCCAACTCATGTATTCATGTGATAACAGAACTAATACAAATGACCTAAATTTATAGAACGGATATGTAGTAACCCTCGAGCATGGGTTTCCAAAACATGCATAATAGGACTTGTACTTGCCAAGTGCTAATCTGCCCACGAACCATTCATGAACTGTCAACAAAAAGAAAAGAAAATCAAGTTGTATGATGAAAACAAAACTTTGAGACCAACATGGCCAAAAGGAGCATGCAAAGCTGTTTCTAGCAACACGAGCATCGGATAAGAGTATACGACTAACACGAGTATGTTTAACTTTTTCCTTCCGTTTTCAATGCATTTGGAGAGTCATTAGATGGCTATATTTTGGAGTCATATCCGGATATGGGTTGGGCATGAGTAGTACTTTGAGAAAAAACATGAAGAGTCAGAACAACGTAGATATTCTGATACCTTGTCAAGATGATGGTTCCGATGGACTTGCCGCTTGCTTTGGTCTGAACTGTCCGGCAGGAGGACCGTCTTTTCGTCTTTCGTATTTTTTGCTTACATATTTTGAATCTTTTCTTGCCTTTGGTTGATAAGTAGGGTATTTGCAGGGTATTATTTCCCCATTGATATATTTATCACCTAAAAGTACACCAAACCGTATATTATATTATCATATTGAAACAAAAACTTCGCATAATTAAAGATAATAGGCAAACCAACCTCCATAATCTTTGTTTTTGACATCTATGTAGGAATCAGGCAGCACCCAAAGAACTCCGGGCAATCCTGCATCCAAAACAATAAAATTCATTCTCGAAGTCATAGATAACAACATCATTTAAACCTATGTGATTCAGGTTCGAATGTGAGTGTCATATACGGATATGTGCTCAACATTGGTATGCTCAATCTTTCTGAACCTTTTCATGTATATGGAGGGTTCTTCGACCATGCATCAGACGTAGATTTCAAACACGGGTATTTCAAGTAACATAGGTTTAAACAAATGAGTTGCAATGAAAATCTTCTTACCCTTGAACTTCTCCGAGGTTTCTTCCGATACAGTGCATTGGAAACCGGTATACGTAGTGGTGCTAAAAGCATACATGTTCTTCTTCGCTTCTTCCATGCTGCAATAAAGATTGGGGGGGGGGATTCATCTGAGATTTCTTCATTACAATAACTCGATTTTCATACATTCACTAAATGGCGATTTTTGTATATTGATTTACTAAACATTAATCAGGTAACATAGGTTCTTAATTATTTAAAAAATGCACAAAGAAGGCATCTCAATTTTGATAACTAAGAAATGCTGATCCATGATATCTAGCCTGGAAAAAGACTGCCGACAACCCAAAAGAATGCTACGACATACGAATCGTGAGCATTCTAACTAGTTAAGATACAAAGTTCTTGACATTAACTCACTCTGTCAAGAACCTTTTGAGGTTCTCACAATCTGAGCTGACAAATTCAGGTAAACAGGTACATTACAAGCCTAACACAAAGATATTCTGTCCTAAGTGGCCTCAATTTCTAAGGACACACTGTTATAATTTTGTCTGAAAATCATTATAACAAGCCAGATGAATTGCATAACTTTTTTCCTTATCAGTCTGCTTTTTAACTTCATTGGAAACTACTGATTATGATAATTCAGAATATTTATGAACAATGCAATGTTCAATCTTGTTTCTTTCATTCAATCCAAGGCTCCATCTTTGTTCATCATCTTCAAGCTCAGACAATTGGATATGTTACCATAATAATAAACCCTTCACCTCAAACTCAATGGGAATCAATCAATCAAGACACTGCATATAAAGAAGTGATCGACGACCTTCCCTAAGTTCATGAGAACTCTTGCTCTTAGACGTCAAAGAAAATATATTTAACAAAGGAATCCTTTTTACATGTTCCAATAACGAACTAAGGGGAAAAAACTAAGCTGCCCCATTAATTAAACATTTCTCGGGAAACAAACATACAGAGAAAGGGGAAAAGTTGAATTTAGCAGCATTTCTATACCAAAAACGAGCAAAACCCATAAAATCTCACCAAATTTGACAATCGTCCAACAAAACGAAAACAAACCCAAAAAAAGAAGCCAAAGTTGCATAAAAATTTCATATTTTCATTATTTTCTACTAGAAAAATACTACCCAGGAAGAAGAAAGTGTCACCTGCCAAGGACAGTAGCTAGGGTGTTAATATAAGTCTCAATCATCTGTTCTCTTGTAGGAGCAGGGTCTTTAGGGAACTCCATAACAATAAGCCAATGGTTATAATCACATCCAGGTAACATTATCGTTTCCCTGGGCTCATTGCTGCTGCTCCTCTTGGGCGAGTAGTCACTGTCACGTGCTGCAGCTTTGATGACACGATGACGACCAGTTGAGGATGAAGGAAAGTACTGAATCAGTGAGTTTACTCGGAGAGTCGGCGGTGGAGTGAGCTGGGGACGAGCTGAAAGAAAGGGTTTTGAAGGTAGAAGGAGAGAAGAAGGGTTTAACAAAGTCGCCATTGGAAGTGTCAGAGAAGAAGATTAGATTGTGATATTTTTCTCAAGTGACGAAATTTAAGGGAAAAATAAGGTTTGAAGATATTTGATATACTTAAAGTAAATTACAACAATGACCACTTAACTATGGAAATATTCTATTTTGATCATTAATCTTTCAATTTTGTCAATAAAGTCAATTAACTCTTTAGACGTTGCTGATCAAGCACTTGTCATTAACATTTGACAAAGTAGTAGTCGTGATATTTAAAAAATTTGTATAATTATATATTTGATCCTTATAGTTTACTAAGGTAAAGCACAAGGACTTTCTGTGCTAATGTTGCACTGAATTATAAGGATATGGGAGAATTCTTAAAAGAATTCTCCAAATACAAGGACAAAATTAGAAGAAATTGAATATACTTGTATCAGATAATGGCATATCTGATAAACTAAATGAGAAATGGGATCAATGAGAATTCTAGCACAGTTCAAAAGGTTGACAAACATCATTTTTATCTTGCCTCAACCACTGTGATTGCAAAATCATTAGAACAAGCTGAAGAATTAGCAGCTTCAACCAGATCTCTCTCAGTGAAAAACCCTGGTTGTTTAGGCTGTTGCAATGGAACTTCACTACTTAGCATCAGAACAACATCCGACATGCTTGGCCTGTCTACAAGACTTCGTTGCACGCATAATAGGCCGACATGAATCAATCTTAGTACTTCGAATCGGTTGCAGGTTTCTTTAATTCCATCAGCAGCCAGCTCCATGGAATTCCCATCACAGAATAGTCTCCATGCCTGTGAAAATATAGCTCATTGTCGATATCGACTGTGCTTAACTACCGTAGCATATAAATCTCTGATATTGATATAAGAAGACTAAAAGACTTACATGTCCAAGAAGGTTGTGTTGATGATCAGGATGAGAGAACCCTCTATTCTTCTTCCCACTCACAATCTCTAGAACCAAGACACCGAAGCTGAAAACATCGGATTTAATCGAGTAAAGTCCATCGATTGCATACTCCGGAGACATGTAACCACTGTGGGGGAAAACAAGATCGAAAATAAGAACACAAGTTTACAAGTTTCGATCTGGTATGGTTCGAGAGCTAATTTGCATATTGCAGATGTATATATCACACAGTTTGAGTTCATTACTTACAATGTTCCCACCACTCTCTTTGTGTTTGCTATGGTTTCTTTTTCTCCAAAACTTCTAGCCAAGCCGAAGTCAGAAATTCTGGCATTCATTTCATTGTCTAATAGAACATTACCGGCTTTCAAATCTCTATGTATTATTCTCTGTCTTGAATCCTGATGAAGATAAAGCAGGCCTCGAGCAATCCCGTCGACGATGTGCTTGCACATCGGCCAATCTAGCAACATGCTTCGGGCTTGGTCTTTCAAACAAGTCAAGCCAATTTATTGTTTGTCAGCTCTCTGAGCACAGAGGAGATTGGTAGAATGATAACGGAATAGATTAATGTTAAACAGACTCGATTTTCTGGTTCGGATGATCGAAGACGTACCGAAAATAAAGAAGTCCAGGCTCTTGTTAGGCATGTATTCATAGATCAACATCTTTTCATCTGCTTGAATGCAGCATCCAAGGAGCTTCACTAAATTCCTGTGCTGAAGCTTTGAAATATGTTTAACTTCGTTTGTGAACTCATCGAGTCCTTGGTTCGAACTTTTCGAAAGCCTCTTAACTGCAATTTCTTGTCCATTCTTCAAAACACCCTAAAAAAACATATTATCATGTTAGTGAATGTTCATTTCAGAAATATGTTATTCGAACTCTTCATTTTCCCTAAAACACGACACTCGTCAAGCAACTTTCCTGATTACAGTACACCTTAAAACATCTAGTGGAAGAAAACAGTAGTCATGAGTGGCATTTGATCATATTGTTACCTTGTAGACACATCCGAAACCTCCTTCTCCGAGTATGTTCTTGATCGAGAAGTTACTCGTTGCACGAATGATACTTCTTAAATCGAATACCGGTAACTCTAGATCTTCCTCGTGAGTTTGATAATCATAAGCACCGCCATCTGAAGGGGGTGTCATCAATCCTGTGAGGAAACAAGTTGAGTAAAATATAACATAGCGACCTATTAATGCAAAATCAAGCATGCTCGAGATCTGTATTAATCGAGTATGTTAGATATGGACTCGAATTAGAACGAGAAATGAAAAAGATAACAACCCTTTTTCCGATTTTTCTTCCTTCTTAGAAACACGACCAGGGTTAGGCCAGCAATCAGCACTCCTGAAGATGATGTAGCTGCAATTATTGTTATGTTTGCATTGGATCGTGCTTTGTTTCTTTCGATCACATTTTGATCTACATGAATAGGCAAATCAGAGAGTCATGTTCATCAATAGGTCAGTTTGTATCGAAATTCAAGGCTTGATCGGCATATTTCGTACCTAGTTCTGATGCAGCAACCTTCACATAGATATCTTGACCACTATCGGTTATGTATCGTGTATCGATAAGGTCATTAAACCAGAGCAAGCACCCGCTTCCTCCGTTTGTAATGTTCAAATTCGCATAAGCCGTGCACGAGCAATTCGCCAAGCAGATGTTCTTGCACTCCTCTAAGTTCAAACTGTAATTATACCATGAATGTTTTGTTTCAGGCACCTTTACTGCAGAGACCTGTATAAATCCATAATCTCCTGAACAGTTTAACTGTGTTTTTCTCACACAACCTCCCGTCCCCGGTGTTGCTTCCCATTCGCTCGAGCTTCTCGGTACGAAACCTCTCATGCAACTACATACGGGAGACCTGTTGTTGTCACATATGCCATTTGCACCACATAAGGCATATCTGTCACAGTTATCTACATAGAGTGGAAGATTTCGAATCCAACCTCGATTCGGGTCGATCCATGAAAAGGGCTCTATAGCTCCGTTCTCACTACTTAGCACTCCCCTTAAAAGAATCGAGTTATTACGAGGAATGAATGTTAGATATACCTCATTGTCATTAAATACAAAATCATAAGTATACATGGGGTTTTCTTTCATCTCAAGTAACCCACTCAACCGCTCACCGTTGTAAGGTCCAGACCGGAATCTAATAGTCGAACCCTCTCTAACAACAATCTCCGGAAATCCACCGAGCTCGAACTGATACGTGAACTTTCCTGCAGAAGGATCATCATGAGTTTTCCAAGACGATAAGTACCGATCGAGGCCAGTTCTCAAGTCCCTACCAATCTTCATCCCTGCAATGAATGTATTTCCTGGATAATCAAAACTTTGCCAAATGAAGTTTCCTGGATTACTATCTAGCTCATCTTTTACAACAAGATTTCCCGAGTCCAATAGCTGCACGACCGGATTCCGAACAGGCCTCGATACATTGGAGGACCAAATGATGCTGCGATTACCATCTAGAAGGACAAGGGTCCCCTGGTTTGTAACTTCTACGACGCCTGACGTATCATTGAGAGGCACTTCCCTATTAGCCACCCATGGAACCGATGTGACCGAATTCGTATACCATATCCCCAAGTACCTTCTGCTGCTGGAACCTGTTCTAAAGAATCCCAGTTCGAAAACTCCACCAGCCGAAACCAAGGTATCGCCGTCTCGAATCGAAATACTGGTATTTAAGCTTTCCACTGCAATGGATACTGTTAAATATGCCCATAAAAAGGAACAAAGCAGAAGCAAGATAAATTCCGCCATTGATGAGATGTGAAACTGAAACATGGAAACCCCATTCCTTATATCAAACTTTTTCCATCAGAATATCACAATTTCAATTTTGATACCTCAGCTCTCTCAAGGAGACTTTTGTTGACCAATGCTAAAGCCATCTCGTGGGCTCAAAATTCTAATCTTCGTATGTTCTATTAAATGGACCACAATTTTAATCCCGTCCAGCTCAGTTGATAGAGCACAAGGCTCTTAATCTTGTGGTCGTGGGATCGAATCCTATGGTGGGCAAATTTTGACTGCCAGAGGTCTACCACGGAAGCTGCTCTCAACCCGGTGTTAGGGGCAACCTACTATCCTACCTTCCCTTACCCCATTACATATGGGAAAAGGGTCAGCTAATATTTTAATATAAAACTTTGGGTCCGTTTATATCATAAAATCTTATATCAATCCCTGGTCTAGGTATGAATGAATTGCCAGCAAACATAGCCATCCATAAATTTTGCTTTTCGAATGCATCCGGTAATGGAAATGCTAATCCTCGATTTAAGGCCGTGGCTAGGTTGTTGGAGGTCCTGTGTAAATTCTTATAAAGGGGCCCTTAGATCTCGAACTTACTTTTTGGCTCCTATTTTTTTGGCTTCTTAATGACAACAACTAATAGATATACTCGATTTTAGGCTCTTAAAAATAGGGGCCTCTATTTTTTAGGATCTTTTAATGGCAACAACTGATAGATATACTCGATTTCAGAGCCCTTATTTTTTGAGACCCCTATTTTTTAAGACTTCTTAATAACAACAACTAATAGATATACTTGATTTCGAAACCCCTATTTTTTGAGACCATGCGCCGTCGCGCACCTTGCGCACCCTCAGCCACGCCCTTGCCTGGATTAAACTCAGCAGTGTGAATTATATGTATGAATTCAATTTACAACACGTAGATATTTTTTATATTTCATGTCAACGATCATGATGGCACGTAAACTATCTAAAAGTCAAAAATCATGCATTACGTACGTCACCGATTGTAATTTTCTTTGGCGTTGTTTTCTTTTTCCTGTGATCTGGCTGCTTGCTTTGACTAAACCTGATTTGTTTATTATGATCTATCTTTTCGGTTTTCATATTTACAGTTAACTGAGAGCATCTCTAAAATACAACCGATTAATATAAAATTTTAAAAAATATATAATGAACTATAATCGAAAATTTTATCAACCGTGTAGCTTTTTCGAAATAAAATGGATAATATTTTAAGTTGAAACAAAAAATATTACGTTTTCTATAACAAATCATATAAATTACATAATTATTCTGATTACAACTTAAAATGTTATCGTAAAAAAACTATGTAACATTCTCGCCTGTAACTAAAATTATTACCAATTATATATATTTTTAGAGTAGACATTATAAGATTTTAGAATAAAACACACGACAATATAATATTCTCGATTATAATTGAAATTATTATTAATTGTAACTGTTAAAACTTGTCATAAATTAACCTTAGGTTTCCCGTTGCACCCCGTTGCACAACAGAACTACCTTTAACTCAAGGGCTTAAATTACGGTTGTAGAAGCGTTTTCTGACCGTAAGATTCGGATCATATCTACACAATCACTTCCATCTTCCAACTCAAACTGCAATGTCCTTTGCACACACACACACACCAAAAAAAAAAATCCCGGATTTATACATAAAAGAAATGCCCTTAAATTCAAGGTGAAGCTCATGAGATGTTTTCATGTTTCTGTCCAGCACTATGACATCAAAACGAACATAATATCACATAAAACTAAGAGCAAATGTTGACACGGGGGTTATCGTATTGTATATCATCACGGATCAGTAAATCGCGATCTCGAGTGCCATAAAAGGAAATCTAGAAACTCATCGACCATACGATAACTTGACCGATAAAAAGTCCAACAAAGCGGAGATGAAAGTAGAAAGAGCGAATCCTAGGGATCCATTTTAACTTGATCCTTCATATGAGCTAATCCTGAGCGACTCATAGCCTTCTTTACTATCTACCACATAAGAAAAGCAAGACGGGAAAAAAAATCAGATCATAAACAGGTTATGAAGGACTGGAAAATATATATTAGTGGAGATAATTGCAGCACCAAGATACAAACCTGCTACCAATAGGATAAAGCTGCAATTACTAAGGAGTCGCTAAGCATCTGAGATAAAATAATCATCAAACACTAATGTTAATTTGCAGGATTTGGTAGTAAGTTCAATAAGTCAGCAACTTGAAACAAAGTCCATGAAAAAAAACTGAAGAAACTTTGCTACTAAAACATATGAATTTCATAACAAGGCAATCTCAGGTATATTAATTCAAAATGTTTCCACCAGGTAACGGTGAAGACATATCTCTTTCTTTTCCCGTCTTCTTATTCTTTCCACCATACTTGTTACACAAGCAATAGCCTAAATGAAACAGAGGGGGGAAATGGCAATGATATATTTGTTGTATAAAACATCTTCCACCAATATGCAAGAGCCTTCCTCGAATCTATGCATATATTTAAGTTATATTGTAAAGCGACATATACAACAGCAGAAGCATGTTCTAACAAATATTTAAATGGAACATTCTCTTTCTGAAAGTTTCAAAACGTTGTAGAGCAACCTCTATTATAAGTTTAGCTTCTAACATCAAGCACACCACATTACGACATGTCATCCTCATCATATAATCATTTCCATTGTGCATAACTTGTCCACACATCAATTAACTGCCAAATTTTACAACATAACATCCATAAGAAAACTCAAGGCAGGGAAAACTATTCCCATCAAGCACATACATCCAAGTTACTTCAGGTAAATGGAAACAGCTGATATCACATATCTTTATGATATTTATCAACTTGTCCCTCGTTATTTTATACCAAGTTGGTAGTGACATGTATGATAAGCACTACACTCTACAAGCAGTTCTGTTGTCCATCACCCCTATACTTTTCAATTAGCTCCCAATCAGCAAGAAAATTCAAGGGGACAAAACTAATCCCATCCAACAACAGATCCTCCCATTTCTAAATATCTAATACTAAAAAGTAAACTAAACAATATATTATCTACAAGAACGAGAAACTAAAACTTTACCAACTTTGGAATGAGTTATATGTATCATATTCTACTATCATGCCCTAATTTTCAGCTAACTTGAACGAAAACAGCATTTTCAGCTATCCACATAAAGATACTATTAAAGTCAGATTGATACCAAGAATAACTAGTCATTAATACCACGAAAAGACCAACCTCCGCCACCTCAAATATCTTATCATCCTTGAAAGCAAATTGCTATGAGTGGTAACATTATACTACTCTGTCCTTATCACCATGTAACAAAATAAAAACACTTACCCGAGAGAGAAATGCTAAAGTCATCCGAATTAGATATCTAAACACCAGCAAGAAAACAAAATTTCAGCCATTCAAAAAGACCAGGGCAGTATATGGGATAGGCTATTCCGAATTCGGATCATATGACACAACTTTGCTACTATCCTAATTATCAGTTCATATTATAAAAACACATCAGCAATAAAAATAAAATAAAACTACTCATGCCATCCAAATTAAGCATTGAAACAAAAATACAAAGTCCCCACATTTCCAATCAAACAGCAAAAAATGAATTCCAAAAGGATTAACTTTTGCCACCTTTTCCCTCCACCTTAGCCTCCTTAGTTGTCGTCACTGGCTGAATATTCCCGTCATCTTTCTCGTCAGGATACCTAACAACAACAACAGGACAAACACAATGATGCACACAGTAATCGGTGACACTTCCCAATTTCCCATCATTCCCTCTTAACTCAGCTCCATACCCTCTACTCCCCATTACAACAGCACTCAACCCCAACCTCTCCAGCTCAATGCACAATCTTTCCCTCATATCATGATCTTTCACTATATGAATCTTAAAGGGAATCCCAGCTTCCTTCAAGGGTTTGGCCAAATCCGCCGCCTTTGAAGCCGTTAAGGCATCGAAATCGTCTTCCAGTTGCTTCTTGGTCTCTGGCGTTCGTGGGCTTTGTTGTTCCTGGGCAACTGGGCCCCAATCAGCTCCGTAGAGTACAGAGGTCGGTGACACGTGGAGGAGGATGACAGCATCGCCTGGTCGGAGGTAGTTCTGAACGGTCCAACGAACGGCGTAAGCCGATTCTTCAGATAGATCGACGGCCACGCCGATCTTACGGCGTGCACCAGCGACGGGGGTGGGGGAAGAGGCGGCGTAGGTCGAGTGGCGAGGAGAGGACGGGAGGTGAATCTTGATCGATGGCAGCTTAGGGTCACTGTTGTTATCAGAAGAATTCTTTTTCTTTCCTTTATTTGGGCTTTCCATTTCCTTTCTTTCCTGATTTTTTTCCTTCAGAAAATGACAGAACTTTTTTTTTTAATCTTGAGAGATTGTTAAGAAATTTTAATATAATTTTTTATTTATATTTATATTTATTTATTTGATATTATCATAATTTATTTGATATTTAAATATTTTCTGAATAATTTAAGGTGGTTATAAAATTATTAGTTTTTAGATATTTATTTATTTTATCAATTTTATTATATCAAATAAAATATAAAATAAATAAGAAGCTAATAATAAAATTATTTTTAAAATTACTCATATGCGAAGTTTTATAAGTGAAGGTAACTTTATTAAAAAAATAATTAACTAAAAAATATTTCTATTAAAAATTTAATTTAAAATAAAAAATTATAATTTAAAGATTTTTTATGCAATTAACTCTACCAATTATTCCTTAAGAATATGGCATTGCTTAAATATTTATTTATTTTTATCGTGCAGAATGCGTATACCATGAGACTAATTTTTATATATACCAACAAATAAACGCTAGATTTTTGGGTAAAGCACACAAATGGTCATTTAATTATAGGATGGTATTTTTTAAGTCCATTAATTATTAAGAGTTATAAATTCATCCTCTGATTAGAGGGCACTGCTTTGTTTAGTGTCTGTTATTAAAAATTATAAAATGATAACTCGATTATTTATATGTATCGAATTTGTCTTTTCTTGTTAAAGAATTGACAATCATCTGAGTTGAAGTTAATTTGTTAACTGAGATATGATAAAATTCTTTCATAAAATTATTTAAATTATATTTTATAAATCAACTCTTTGTTTAACCTGTTAACCTAATATAATCGGGATACTATTTGTATATTTAATCCGACATTGTTTTGCTTTGTTAATGATCGGTTGATTGTAATTTCAACCACCTTGGATCTGCTTGAATGGTTGGTGGAGCCGTAGAAGGATAAAAGTCGCGAACATTTAAGATTCCAATATCAAATCGATCCCTCAAACTAACCAAAAAAAAGAAGCCATCTATCATGACCGAAGACTCCACAGAAGACTACCTCCTAGACCACCACCATCAGGAAGAAACTCTTCCAACAACCACCGCAGTCACCGCCACCAACAATTCCGGCAAGCTATCCATCATCCCCCTCATCTTCCTCATCTACTTCGAGGTATCCGGTGGAGCATACGGCGAGGAGGCAGCTGTGGGTGCCGCTGGTCCTCTCTGGGCCATACTCGGTTTCCTTGTTTTCCCTTTCATATGGAGCATACCCGAGGCCTTGATCACGGCCGAGCTCGCCACCGCCTTCCCCGGTAACGGAGGCTACGTTATCTGGGCTCACGAGGCTTTCGGACCATTCTGGGGTTCACTCATGGGGTCCTGGAAGTTCCTAAGTGGAGTGATCAACTTAGCATCGTACCCTGTTCTTTGCGTCGACTACATCAAGTTAGTTTTCCCGATTCTCTCCTCCGGGTTGCCTCGGTATGTTGCGATACTGTTGTCGACATTGTTCCTTTCTTTCTTGAACTACACAGGTCTGGTCATAGTCGGGTACACAGCAGTATGTTTAGGGGTAGTTTCACTTCTGCCATTCGTATTATTAGCTTTGTTTTCGATTCCAAAGATCGATCCGAGCAGATGGATTAGTTTAGGACAGAAAGGAGTAACAAAAGATTGGTCACTGTTCTTCAATACCCTTTTTTGGAACCTAAATTTCTGGGACAATGCCAGTACCTTAGCAGGGGAAGTGGAACAACCACAAAAGACATTCCCCAAAGCCCTTTTCTCAGCTGGATTGCTCACTTGTTTAGCTTATTTAGTGCCTCTTTTAGCTGCAACCGGAGCTATACCACTAGACCAGGAAAACTGGGTTGATGGGTATTTCGCTGATGCAGCTCAAATCATTGCAGGAAAATGGTTAAAAGTGTTCATTGAAATCGGTGCTGTTTTATCAATCATTGGACTGTACGAAGCACAATTGAGCAGCTGCGTTTACCAGCTTCTAGGAATGGCTGATTTAGGATTTTTGCCACGGTGTTTCTCTGTGAGATCCAAGTGGTTCAACACGCCTTGGGTGGGAATTCTGGTGTCGACGTCGATAACCGTCGCGGTTTCGTACATGGACTTTTCGGACTTGATTTCGTCGGTTAATTTCTTATACAGTTTAGGCATGCTACTCGAATTCGCATCATTCCTTTGGTTGAGGAGAAAATCGCCAACAATCAAAAGGCCATTCAGAGTGCCCATGAAGTTGCCTGGTCTGACCGTGATGTGCTTGATTCCTTCTGGGTTTCTGGTGTATATCATGTTAGTGGCTACCGGAAATGTGTTCTTGGTGAGTTCTATAGTCACGGTTCTTACAATCATCTGGTACTTTGCAATGAATTTCTGCAAATCCAAGAAGCCGGCCATTGTGGAGGATGAGGCTTATTTGGAATAGGATGAACTTGTATTCCTATTTTTATCTCAAAATTATTACCATGTTCAATTTATTATATTAATAACATATTTTTATTTTATTTTAAAAAATTAATGTCGACTAATTGATTGTGGTTAATCTAAATTTTGTTTAAAGCAAAGTAGGGAAGGAGAACATAGGATAGGTGATTAACGGGATTAACTAAAAGCAGCTCACCTAACGTAATGCGGACCAAATGGTGGATATTTAGGATATTTGGGGGTCCCAAAAGAAAGAAGATGCGTGACGCATCGAAAAGCAATGGATAGTGAAGTTTACAATTATTGCTTGAATTTGAGTCGATTCGAAAAATATACAATCTCCATCCGATTAGATTCAAATTTTTAAGATAAAATTCGAACCCGATTTGATCCGAAATAATATATTTATTAAAAAATATTATTCTTATTCAATGGAAATATGGATTTAATTGAAAAAAAATAATATATAGAGGGGTATTATTACAATTATTCCTAAATATAAAGTTAAAATTATATTTTTTTTCTGGCCGCTCGGATCAAGTATTTTTCATCCTAAATCTGAACCAGACCCGAACACTATCTCTAAAAAAAACTAACCTAAACCAGAATTTTTTAAAACAAAATATGATTTGATCAGGTCAGATCAAATCAGAACCTATCAAATTCGAATCTTATATCTATCCCTATTTACAACAAATGTGTTGTTTATATATATTAATTTTGAATTCCACATGAAACTAACGCGTTTTGCTTTTTGCGTTTTGAAATTTGATAATCTTCATTCCCATGTCCTCACACTAAAAGCTAGTTGCTTTTGCATTTGATGTACGGTATAAGGCAAGCCGTATGGACGACTTAAGTTTGAAAAAGTGTAAAATTAAATTTAATTCCATTTGAAAAATATAAAATTGAATTTAAAAAAAATAAATTTAAAATATTCTTAAATTTATCTCAATTGAAACTCAAACACGAAGTCAAATCTAAACATTAAATACATGAAAGATTATATTATATATAATTTTTTAAAAAAACATATGGATTTTAATATTAATAATAGTTTAATTTAAAAAATCTAAAAATTTAATATATTATTTTTAAGTTGTTCACGAGCTTTTCGAGTCTAATATTAAGTAACTCGTTAAGAATTTGAGTCAAATATATTCAATTAAAAATTAATTAAATTTTAATTAAATTAATCTCAAATAATTTATAATCTCTCTCGTCTCATTTACCATCTTCAAGTAAGGTGCCATGACTTATTCTCTAAGAACGAACCATATATTAAGCTAAAAGCTTTTGAATTTGCCGCAAGTGACATGGGTAAGTTTCTAAGAAATAACCAAATGTAAGAACAGTAAAATACATAAATGGTCCCCTATATAGGGTAATATTTTATTTAGTTCCTCAACTATTAAAAATTATAAAATATTTTATCAATTATAAAATTATATTTTGTTGACTCATCGACTATTAAAAGTTACAAAATAGTTTATCAACTATAAGATGTTAATTTCTTGAGTCCCTTGACTATTAAAAATTATAAAATAGTCATCCGACTATTTATATATTCTAAACTCATCATTTTTTTGTTAAAAAATTGACCGTCGTCTGTGTTGGATATTAACATATTCAATAGGATATAATAAAATCTGATCTCATAACCGTTTGAACTGTATTGAATAGGATGAACTTGTATTCCTATTTTAATCTGAAAATTATTACCATGTTCTACCGTAATGTGGACCAAATGGTGAATAAAGTAGGGAAGATGAGTGCCGCATCGAAAAGCAATGGATAGTGAAGTTTACAATTAGGGATCGGGTTGGATTTTTTTTTTGTCAATCCTACCTGATTTGAAAATTGTACATTTTCCATTCGAATTTGACTCGACTCGAAAAATATATATTTTTCACCCGATCTGATCCGAATTTTTTAGATAGAATATGAATCCGACCCGATCTGAAATAATATATTTATTAAAAAATATTAGTCTTATTCATTAAAAAATAGGGATTTAATTGAAAAAAATAATATATAGAAGGGTATTATTACCATTATCCCTAAATATAAAGTTAAAATTACAATTTTTTCTGATCGGATCGGATAAGGTATTTTGTAAAGTAGGGACTTAACAACATAATACTCTATAATTAAATAATCATGTTGTAACTTTTAATAATCGGAAACTCAATAAATCAAATATCTATAGAAAGGAACATTTGTATACTTTACCCTATATTCTATACGTGTTTCATTTTTATTTCTCCTGTAATCTGTTTCTTCCTTTGGTGTGTATAGGCCTGAGTCAACACTGGTAGATAAAATTGTCAAAGATATCTTGAAGAAACTGAGCCATGGAACCTCAAGTGCCTCTTTGGAGGGCTTAGTTGGAATTGAGAGGATGATGGAGCAAGTTATGTCATTATTTCAAAAAGAAAAACCAGATTTCCCAAAGCTAGGCATCTGGGGCATGGGTGGTATAGGGAAAACTACCCTTGCCGATGCTATTTTTAACCATGTTTCGAATGGTTTCGAAACTTCCATCTTTCTTCGTAACGTTCGGGAATCGGAAGAACGTGGAACGTTAGTTGAATTACGTGAGAAATTTCTTTCAGCCATATTGGAAGATGGAAACTTAAATATATCAGCTCCCACACTCGGAACAGGCTTTATTAAGGACATGCTTTCCAGGAAGATGGTTCTGGTAGTTTGTGACGATGTGTCGAATTCAAGCCAACTCGAGTTTTTGTTCAGAGGGATCGATCAGCTCGGCCCCGGAAGTCAAGTCATAGTTACAACTAGAGATAAACAAGTGCTAATCCAGAATGACATTGTTCTCATTTATGAAGGAATCAGACGGAAATGAATCTATTCAGCTCTTCTGTCAATGTGCCTTCAAAAGCAATCATCCCAAGGAACATCAGTTGGAGCTATCAAAGATGGTTTTGAGTTCTGCTAATGGGAACCCCATGGCTATAAAAGTGATGGGATCCTCTCTTTATGGAGGGAACCAAAGCTACCAGGAAAGTGCAGTGAAGAAACTACAGCAGGTTTCTAATCCAACCATTCATAAACTGTTGAGAAGCAGTTTTGATGGGCTGGATTGGGAAGAGAGAGACATTTTTCTCGACATTGCTTGTTTCTATAAAGGGGAAGATCTAGATTTCGTAACGAGGATTATGGATGCTTATTATGTCTCTGCGCATTCGGGAATCATAACCTCATCGATAAATCGCTTATCTCTGTTTCGGAAAATAGGATAACAATGCATGATCTATTGCAACAGATGGGTTGGGATATTGTTCGCAGTGAATCACCTTCAGAGCCTGAAAGATGCAGTAGGCTGTGGATTCCTAATGACATCCGTAATGAAATAATAGGAAGCACTGTAAGGGCAGCCTTGTTAATCTCTTTCACTTACGTTTGCAATGTATCTTGACTCTTTATTCTGACAATCTGCTCTTGGTTTTAGGGGACAGAAACACTCAAAGGGATGCTACTTGACATTTCCAGAATTTCGGAGTTGGTTTTAGGGGACAGAAACACTCTCTATTCTCGTGCTCACATGGAAAGGATCACTGAAATGCAAAGCTATGGTTCTGCATGTTAAAGTAGATCATGTATTGAAGTTCAGAGAGAGAGAGAGAGAGAGAGAGAGTGAATTCATATTCAAATGTAAAGAATATATATGTATGTATGTATAGAAGACACTGCCTGTCAAAGATCTGGTTTTTTGATATTCCAAACTCAAGCTTCAAAGCTATTGTCCTCATTCCGTCCAGAATACTTTGTTGGTCAGGGCCCCCTGCCACAGCATGCACCGTGACATAAATGATCTAGCTATCAGATGCAGCAAACACTCAAAATTCAAACCATCATAATTTCTAGTCTTTTTTTCCTGACCTGAAGATGACCCTCCTGCAAGCTTATCATCTATTGCACGAATAGGAATCCATAAAATCGAGGACACGTCACTGGTCCATTCGGGAAAATCTATTTTACCATTTACAGGGCATAACTTCTCAAAGTGTTTATTAGCAGACGGAAAAAAACTTCTGCAGCATCACCAGAGTTTGCTGTATCAGCTGAACCCTGAGCAGAATTTCTGTAGCTCTCTATCTCAATGGAATGTGACTCTTCAATCATTAAACCAGGACCAGTTTCAATATGCAAGACAGAACCTTTTAAGGAGTACTTTATAGGCTGTACTATAATTCCAACCCACTGAGTTTTATTAATCAGTAACGCAGATGATATAGCTGCAGACAGATCAGCTAGAGGTCTTGGTTTGAAAACCTAAAATAAAAATGATTATGACAATTATGGTGTTAACTTTTCTTAATCCATATCATGCGAGAAGAAAGTACCTCAGATTCATAAGAGCGAAATGGACGGAAAGATTACCTTCAAGATAGGCCGGATTGGCTTCTCATAGCTCATGAAATCATCACTATCTGCTGGACCTCCCTTGGAAAAACTATGAGATCTAAATGTCAAGTGTCCGACGTGACCAGTAAGGACTCCCAAGACATAGGAACCAGGCTTCTGTGGTGGTAAAGGAAAGGTTATTGGATTCCTACCAGGGTTTAGTACAGTGGCACTCGAGTTTCGTAACTGAAATAAGAATCAAAACAGCAAATCATGTCATGCCACACCATAGCTTATAAACATACTAGCATCATCTTGTCTTAGAAAACCATACCTTACCACCTTAATCAGCATTATATGTAGCCATCAAAGTGACACTAATAGAATCAAGAGTTATATCATCAGGAAAGCCACTCCAAACGGTCACAGACAAGGTACCAGGATCCCCATCACATAACGCCATAGGAGGGGCAGGGTTTCCAGAAAATGTAAATAAGGATGATACATCAAGAGGAACATGGTGCGTCGTTTCACTATGTGCAAGACTAACCACTTCTGATTGAAATGTTTGGCGTTCCTTTTCCGAGAATAAGCCTTCATCTAGTGAAAGTAATAGCACACAAGATGATAGGTAGCCAGCTTGGTCATTGAGTGCCTTCTGACATTCAGCTAAATTGGGCA